GTAGTGATAGATGTAGCAATCCCAAGCGATAGCAACATCAGGAAGGAAGGAAGGAAGGAAGGAACACGAGAAGCTTGAGAAATACCAAGGGCTGAAAGAAGAGCTAGAAAAGATGTGGAAGGTGAAGGCACAAGTGGTCCCTGTGGTAATAGGAACAGTGGGGGCTGTGACCCCCAAACTGGGAGAATGGCTCCAACAGATCCCAGGAACAACATCTGAGATCTCTGTCCAGAAGAGTGCAGTCCTAGGAACAGCTAAGATACTGCGCAGGACCCTCAAGCTCCCAGGCATCTGGTAGAGGACCCGAGCTTGAAGGAAGGAATACAAGACCACCCCAAAGTGGGGGAAGAGTGGGGAATTTATTTTTTATATAAATATATATAAAGGGCTGCACAAAAATCATTTTGTAAGTGTGATTGAGATCCCTGTGTGATCTGAGTCTCACATGACAACGATTCTGCCATGTTTGTATTAGCACAAAGATGCCTTGCATCAAACCAAGTGCTCCTTTATCCTCGCCAAGCTGTAATGCAAGAATGCATTACATCATGTGAGGAGCTGTAGAGGAAGCGAAGACTGATTCAAAAACAAATCCAACATGTTTAACATTATGAAAGATGCAACTATTGTGCAAACATTGTGCTGCCTGCACTATATACCTAGGGCAAAAATAAATCAATTTGTGGTTATTTAATTGCGCTTATTGGTTAATAAATATATTTATATTGGTGCTTGACAGGGTTGTACATTTCACCCTTGTCACTTTGTTTTGTTTGACAGGTTGCTACTTTCATACTGCAGAAGATTCTGTTGGATGACACAGGGCTGGCCTACATATGCCAGACTTATGAACGTTTCTCCCATGTGGCCATGATTCTTGTAAGTGTCCTTTGATAAACATCTGAATTTGGTTGTGTTTACTTTCCTAGTCTCTGTACAGTGTGACACTTGGCTTCAGTTATAAGAGAAGATGGTCTGTTAGTATGACATTTTCATGTCTTTTTTTGTAGGGCAAAATGGTGCTGCAGCTTTCAAAAGAACCATCTGCACGTCTGCTGAAGCATGTTGTTCGTTGCTACCTTCGCCTCTCAGATAATCTCAGGTATAGGTTCAACAGATGGTGTACCGTATGTGCTCACCTGATCTAACGCGGGCTTGTAGAGAGGTGCCCTGTGTAAGATAAGAGTGGAACATTTAAACCAGATTGAGAATATGCCACTAGGAGGAGCCATGGCATAAATACAGTATGTGGTGTTTTCAGAAGACTTAAGGTCAGAAATTAATTTTTACCCACTAATTGAAACGATTGGTCAGTGATCAGAAAGTTAATTTATTGTCAATTTGGTAATTAATTTTCAATTAAGTTCTAAATATTAGGTAGTTTCAGGCTTACCTGTGCTAAATTGGCAGTATTTCCTCCTCTTTATATGGTCAAACAAATACTTTTGGCTGATTGACAGTTTAAATTTATATATGAAGCAGCAGGATTTGTGTTTTAATATATCAGTGATAGATCAGCAAGTTCTTTTAAAGAGCACAGATCCACAGCTCTGCCTCTCTGCTCCTCTCATGATGCTATGGATGCATTCACCATGTATGCACAGGACTCTGCTAACCAGTTTCCTGTGTGAACCCTTGTGTGTTTTATTGTAGTTTACAAATGTTGTAAACAAAGTTTATCAGCCTGATAGTTCACGTATAGCCCATTATGGCAAGTATCCATTTAAGTAGCATCAATTATGTATATCATGTAAGTGCATTGCAGAACAGAGGTTGTATATAAAATACACTATATATTGGTCTTGATAACACACAGCAGAAAGTCAATAACAAAAAAACCATTTCAATCTAAATAACATTTCCTCTCCATGTGCATGGTTATTTTGATATGGGTAAAGAATTGCGGATGTTTCACATTTGGCTTCTTGTCATTTTATGGCAAACTGTGGACAGAAAGGCACATTGGTTTGTGACATGTGTTATTCCTTTGTGCAGAGCCAGAGAAGCCCTGCGTCAGTGTTTGCCAGACCAGCTGAAAGACAGCACCTTTGCACAGGTGTTGAAGGATGACACCACTACCAAGCGCTGGCTGGCACAGTTGGTTAAGAACCTGCAGGAAGGCCAAGTGACTGATGCTAGAGGCATCCCACTGGCTCCACAGTGATGGAAGGGAAAGTGGCCATCGCTGTATAGATTTTGTTATGTAAAATGTGCCGCTAAGACTGTCTGTCTGCAAAATAAAAGGACTAAATGATGAAAAGATTTGTCTTTTGGATGTATTAACATCCACCAATTTCCCTGTCACCTTCATACATGAGCTCTGATAGTAGAATGTTGAAGATGATACTGGTATCAATATTTGGCTGATGATTGTTTTTGACGGTTTTTTTTTTTTTCTTCAAAATTGATATAGGTACCACATGTCTGGGTGGGTATTTTACAGTTAAAAGAATAAACTATCCAAACAGTAAGTCATTTTTTTAAACAATACATTTTCTGTTCCATTCCACTTCAAAGTAGGAACATCTTGCCTCCTGAAATTTCAAACCCTTTACTGTACACTTAACAGTATTCAGTATTCCTCATATCCATCAAAAATATATCCTTTTTAAAATTATTTTGAGCTACCTACTGTCAAGAGAACAATTAGCCAACACGTTAGAGCAGTGGTGTCAAACTCAATGGTACAGGGGGCCAAAACTCAAAGCACACTTTAGGTCGGGCCCGAACAGGATAAACATTTATTGAACAGACTAAAACTAAACGTATATTGAACATAAATATCAATCTAAACAGACAGGACACATTATTATTCCAAAATAAATAAACTTGAACTTAAAATCACCAACCGTATTTCTGCTAAGGCTTACATTAACTTTGGTGAAAACGTCTGCTGTGATGTCAGATTCCTCTTCAACTCCTCTACCTTCTGTAGCTTCTGCTCTGCATTCACGTTTTTCAGCTTGTCCTGATGTTTTGTCTCGTAGTGCCGTCTTAGGTTATATTCCTTAATTACAGCCACATTAGCTCCACAAATAAGACACACGGGTTTACTGACAATGTCAGTAAACATATACTCAGCCTCCCACTGGTTTAGAAAGGCTCTGTTTTCAGAATCAACCTTTCTCTTGGCCGTTGTTAGGGGCTAGCTTTGACTAGAAATTAGGGTTGTATACATCAACAGACGCTTGATTGATCTGACGTAATTGACGCGGGAATGATCGCAGGTTGCCTATCGTTCGGTAAGGCAGCTGTTGCGCTGCATTATGGGATTTGTATTTCATGTGTTATGCTTCATATCGCCGGGCCGATATATAAAATAATTTTGCGGGCCGGATGTTGTACGCCGGGTCGGCCTTGAATTTGACACATGTGCTTTAGATACTCCCCTCGCCCCTGATGGACTTTCAAATGCCCTAAATTCCTGCTAAAACACAACAAAGATCCAGTCCTCTCTCACTTAACCACACAAACTTAAAAATCACTCATTAGAGCCCTAGCTGGCTGTGGCTTACGAGGTAGGGCAGTCGTCTTCTCCCGGTCTCCCCGCATGCCTAAGTGTCCCTCAGCAAGACACTGAACCAAATTCAGTGGTTCGACTGGCGCTACTGTGCGGCAGCCTCTCGTCATCGGTGTGTGAATGGTGTATGATCTCCTGTAAAGCGCTTTGGCCAGTGTAACACACTGTGAAATATGTGCTATATAAATACAGTCCATTTAGCCACCAGAACATAGACAGTGTTAATCCATCCAGAGCAGACAATCAAAAACAGAACTGCTTCAGATAGCATCCAAAGATTATTTAACTTAATCAACAAAAACAAACCACACATCTTAAAAACATTTGACACAGTAAACGGGACATTTCTATCGGGCACCCTTTGCAGCTTTGGTTTTGGAGAATTGTCCATCCATTGGATAAAAACAATATACATGTCACCCAGGGCCACAGTAAGCCTCACAAAATTTCACACCAGAACCAGACAGACAATGATATCCCCTGTCTCCTTCTTCTGCCATTTCCATAGAACCACTTGCAGCAGCAATATAACAAAGACTCCTCCCTCCCACTCAAAGCTGGCTATATATAAATATATATATATATATATATGTGTGTGTGTGTGTGTATGTATGTATGTCTATATGTCATGTCATGTCAGTCACAGTCAGTCAGACATGTGCTACCTACTAGAAGATGATATCAAACACTGGTCCAGCCTTCCACTCACATTCACTGGTCCAGTTGCTACAATTAAATTGAAATCTCTACCACAGATGAACTATCTGTTTTCAGTGCTTCCTACAACTCCCACAGACAAATGGTTTAAATCACTTTACTCATTAACTTCACAATTTTACAAGAAATAAAGAAAGCACCAAAGCTCCAACATTTGTTCTTAGTAAGCCAACTATTGAAATGGATTCAGAAGGACAATTACAACATTTCATGGACAGAATCAGAACAATGTAAAAACATCCCATTTGCAAACCTGGCACTAAATTAAGGAAATTAACTCCTGTAAGACTATTACAGTCACAAATCTTGGCAGCCTGGTGGAAAGCTAACAAAATCACCGTGACCCCAGTCTACACCCCAGTCTAGTGCGGTCTTGACTTTCAACTGCGCAACAACTCTGTCCATTCAGTCATGGCAGGACAAAAATATTAAATTAATCCAAATTAACTATAGTAAATTGTACATACTTACATTCATGCTATTGGACAGTGGCTGAGTGCAGCTCTATACACTATTGTAGAATGTTGATATACTGTACTTGTACTTAAAATTTTATCATTGCTTTAATATTATTAAAATTAATCAAAATGTATGCAGAATATGTGTAAATTAATTGTTTCATCAGTGATATGCTATGTAAGTGAAGAAAGGGACATTTTTATACAGGGATATATCAGTTAGAGTTCTGATGTTATTTTTAAGTTAGGCTCATTGTTCATCAATGAAATGAGAAAGAGGCTCACTGAGTGCTCCAAGCCCCACAGACTTCACTGATGAGTCTTTATTTCCTTTTACCGGTACATTAACGGATTGTTGATCCATAGGTTCCATTATCCTCACAGCTGACTGAGATCGACATCATGCTCAAGCCTTCCATTTGTGAGCAAATCTGACCCCCTTGGGTGACGTTCCAAAGAATGCTCTGTGCATTTTTGGTCTGTTTACCTTTTATCAGGAAACAGCTACAGTAGCTAAAGTCATTATGTGATCCAGAGATCCTTCCAAATGGAGGGGTACATTAGCTTGATTGGGGAAAGTGATGTTTTTCATCTTTGTGTAGCTGTTTGTGATTCAACACTGTCTGTCACTGATATTCAGCTGGATCTTTTGGCACGTTAAAACAGGTTCAAACCAAGCTGTAATCACTGCATTCTCACATGCATGGTGGACAGAGTGGGCTGTAATAAAAACAGCATCTGAACCACCATCCACCAACATAGGCACTTTTTGCAATATGTGCCATAGTGCCAAGTTCTACAGTATTGTCCTACAGTTTGTTCAGTCTCTAACAGTCTTTCAGTATAACTAGATCAGATTGAGTCAGAATTCTCTTTGACCTCTGATTAATTCTCTAGAGAGGAATTGTTTTCATGCACAGCATGTATCTCTTATTGTTTAATCATCCGGGTTCTTTTTTAAACGAGCAGACCTTTTCCCAGAATTGTATTATTCATTATCAGTTATGATACAGAAACATGAAAGTCATTCCGAACCCTGCACAGCATCCACAGTCTCCCAAAGAATGAGAGCGGAAGACGGATCCAGGCAAAGTAGGCTGCGGGGAGGGACATTCACTAGAGGCAGTGGAGAGTCTGTAGAGGGCAGAGTGAAGGAATGGCAGGAAAGGAGACAGGCTGGTAGGGAGGAGGAGGATGAAGAGGGGTGGGAACAGACCACAGCAGTTTGCGGTAGCAGTGACTGGGGATTCAGCTCTCTCAGACACAGCAGTAAAACTGCAGAAAGGGGAGGGGAGGCTGAGTCAGATTTCCTTTCGGCCACTCCCAGCATTTGAAGGCCCTTTGCTGAACTAACAGTCCTTGGACCCTCGTTGAATCTGGATCTCACTTTAAGGACCAGTGTAATGTACATGCCCCTCCGACTCTCTGAAGCAGTCCATCCAGGGTTTTGCCCTTCAGTGTCTGAGGTCCTCACTTGAAGAGTGTGTGCAGACATTTGGAGTTCAGACTCATAATATTCCTGC